ATATATATATTTATTATAACAAAATAGGCAGTTACTGTGGGTAAAATATTCATTAAAATCTGACCCCTAAGAACACACACATTTTTAGGCTATGAATCATTCTCTCATTGCCCTAATGACCATCTCTGCAGCTGTTTTCTGTAATACTGCCAATGGAAATTTGGCATTCCTCTGAAAAATACAAGGTTTCCTAGCACCTAAACATATTTTAGGCTGAAAAAGTGTGATGACCATTATCTATAAACAATTTCTGTAAGACACTATAAATAGTGTTTCACAAGGAAGATTAAAAACATTACACATCTTTGTCCCTAGCAATTTTATTGGCAAAAAATGAAAAAATAGATTATAAGAATATCCGTATGAAATTATGAAAATGAATATCCCTTGAGGGACTTCATGAAAATGTTAACTCAAAATTTGAAAGTTTCTAACTGCCTGGAAAAAAAAATATTACTGTGAGAATAGAGTTTTTAAATTCAGAAAATAAAACCTGAAATTGATTGCCCTGACCAAACCATGCTATTGAAGTTAAGCGTGCAAAGTTACTAATGATTTACAACTTCCTTGAATACAACTTTTCTTTCAATTGTTATGAAATTTTAAAAGAATGTCTATAAAGCTTTTTTGAAAAATCTTCGAAAGTTACTTTCCCTTAAACATTAAGGAATTTTACCAAGCAATTCCCTCCCACCCCCACCCCAAACTAATAGCTGGTCAGGCCATTCCATTGTTATGTTTGAAAAATGGCAAACCGACAGAGCACAATAATACAAATTATTTAAACTAAGAGAGACACCAAATGTAAAGCATTATGGGAACTGCAGAATGTGATGGTTAGGGTATGAACCACGCTGGAAAGAGCTAGAGGCAGGCTCCACTGGAAGGGCTTAAGAATCATCAGATGTAGTAGGTGATGTCAGTTAGAAAATTGAAAATAAAAATCTGTTTTCATAATTTTTCCTTTGCTGGAACCCAGATGTAAGGCCCAGACTGTTCCTCTATGATCTGTTTCACTTGGTTGTAGATTTCTTCCAGTGTGTCTCCTTGGACAATAGCTGTAAAACATAATGTGGCAATCAGCAATCATTCTTCCTAGCTCTGTACAGAAACCAAGATGTTCCAAGCCCAGCTTCTCTTTTCTCTGAGTGGCAAGAGGACTTTAGATCACTGAAGGAACAGACACTGAGATTTCTGGTTTCTGTGCTGGAGTGAAGCACATTATTGATGGTACTGCAGGACACACAAAGCACCATCTCACCCACTCAGAGGCTTGGGGTTAGGCAGTGGTTTTCAGATTGCTACAAACATACCTATACAACTGCAGAGGTCTTTTTCTTTTCCTAACCACATGTTAGTGTTTGCCCGAGTCAGTTTACATCCTCCAGTATTCTTTTCGGTCTAACTTTTATGTGTGTTTCCAACACAACAAGGCAAGACAGTACAGGGCTATGACCTCATGCAGGCAGTCCAAGTCAGGCCTGGTGTGATGAGACTGGTGAACTCCCCAGCTGGATCCTGAAGCTTCACAGCAAGACTGGCTGACCTTGAAATTTCTACCTGCTAGCACTACCCTTTGCTTTTGTCCAAAATGAGGAGGAACTCGGGGAGTTTGTTGCCCAGCTAAAAGAGTTAAGTTTTATAGACAATAGGCTTCCTCACACAGTTAAATATGCAATTTATATTCAGATGCTCTAAGTTAGATATTTTATCCAAGCATACAAAATAATTAGAACTACGCCAATGTGCATGTATTCTGATACATCAGAGTAAAATACCATCTGGTGAAAATGAGGGTGAAGTGTGAGCTGTTTGTACCGTACTTCAGTCTGAAAAAGCAATCAGTATGAGACAGTAATTTCTTTTTAATTAGGATCACCACCTCAGTATTGACAATCCAAGAAAAAATGTTTAGCATGAAAGATATTTCGGAGGTAGGCCAGACTCACTCTTTTGTGCACTCGTGTTACTGCTGCTTCCAAGCTTTGCTTTCATGCTAATTACTTCCTTTTTATTCCTACTCATCATTCCCATCTCTTAAAAACTTTCTCCCCATCTGCAGCCCACTGTCATAGTGTCTGTAGGAAAAGGCTGTTCAATTATTATAGGTCAAGTATAATTTTCACAGCACAACAGTGCATTACAAAGATTTAGAAATGTCTTTGCAATGCAAATAGCTGTAAGCTTCAGCATCTCACTTCTCTCCAGCTATGTTTAACCATACCTCTTCCAAAGCTCAGTACCCTAAAGCAGAAGATGGATGTGCTCTTCATGTGCTTCGGTGCAAAGTTGAAGTCTGTTTAAACTTAACCTGCTGATGAAGTTCATTTCAGTTACCCCACACAATGTGGTATTTTTTAACAGGTTACAGAATGCTCACATACTCTGTTTTACCACCTGACTTATACGGGTGGCAGCCTCCAAACTAAGTAGTAAGTAGGACCTGAAATCTTTTCAAGCATCCCTAGCAGATTCAGAAAAGGATTTCTGCTCTGAAGTGGATTATCAAGGACACACAAGTCTGACCATTGCTATCTTCCTTTGTCAACAAGCCTTATACTTACGGTCCTGAGCACTACAGCACTTAAAAATGTCTATAGGTTTTTGAAACACCTTGAATTATGGCCCTGAAAATTTCCTGAAAGTGTCCTATATAGTGCCCTGAGACAGCCTTGGAGAATAACTATTAAAATAAACTCATTTCCTGAGTAACAAACCTGACGTATTTGCCAGTCATTTGGAAAGAGACTCTATAATAGGAAAAGTTTGCAATATATGTTGAGACTCACAAATTTCTGGGTGCAGGCAGACAGAGCGCTATGGGAAGAATGGGAGAGCTAGATGCAGTATTGGGATAATCTGACAGCTGCAAGGCAGCAGAGAGAGATGGAAGTAGACAAAGGGACTCAAGTTTTTCACTGTGTGGGTAGTACACAAGATAGAGAGTAAGGCAGCAGGAAGACCATGGCAGGGAGTCTACTGGTTCCATTATCTTCCTCCCATGTGAAGCCCCACTCCTTCCCTGTGTCTCCGCCCAGGTGGAGCAGACTGTGGCATATGCAGCTCTGCCCACACAAGATGTGGAAGAAGGAACTGGACAGAAATGAGGTGAATGGGGCAGCAAAAACTGTAGCCCTGCAATAGATCATAATGGAAAGGAAACGAGCAAGTGTCTATCTATGACAGGAATAGGGTAGGTTCATTTCTGCCCTCCTGAAGATCCTGACTTGATCTGTCTTCCCCTACTGCAAGCCACGGTGCAAACAATCGGCATGTTTGAGTGCTTGCAGCTGTTACAGTTAGGTACACAGCATACACTAATTTGATTTGCCAAATACCATAATACTGTAGTGCCCAATTTCCAGAGGCTTAATTGATTACCACCATTTTTGATCATCTTCCTGATTAAAAAAAAAGGGGAGCGGGAGAAGGGAAATTCATCCTTTTCTACAGGGAGCTTTGCTGGGCAATCTCAGCTCTGCAAATAAAGAGCTTTAAGCTTACAGTATATCAACAAAGCAAACATCTGCACTACAGTAACCTAAGAAAACAGTAGAAAGTGTCAGAGTTTTTAAAACATAAATTCAGCTCCCAGTAAATTTTTGTATATATTGAATTGATCAAACTGAAATCAGTGTAGAGGTACTAAGACGGCTCTGTGCCTCAAAGCTATTACAGATCATCCAGAAAACAAAGTTCAGCCTTATCTCAGCAGTGAGGCAATTATTATTTTACAGCAAGCAATAAAATCTCAACTCTGGCAAGGGAACAGTCCCAAGGAAAACATACCTGTGAAGTGTTCAGTAAATTCTTGCTCCAGTTTCATGGCTCTCTCAAATGTCTTCCTGGCTTGCTCTTCTGTTAAGCGTTTATTCATTTCCCTGAAATTGAAAACATTACACATATAAAAACATTATACATTTAAATACTTGAAGCCTTTTAAAATAAGGCTTTAAACTGTTTTCAGAGTATTAACCCCAATAAGAGGCAGCCTCCTAAATGACATACCTAAGCAAAGACTGTAGTAGGAATGAGTTGTTCTGATATTATGTTGGATGGAATTTAGTACAATGGCATTTGTTCTCAAGCACTTTAATTCGAATTAGAAATCCCCTCTAAAAGGCTCTAGAAATTAAACTCATAAAACTAAATATTGTTTAAAATGCAAGTATTACACTTATCTTCACATAACTTGCAGTTAGCTTTTCAAATACAATGACAGTCTCAAACAATTTAGCATAAGATACTTCACTTTTACTCACATGATATTTTCCACTGTTTTGGGTTTAATAAAAATGGAGATTGGGTATAGCTGGGCAATCTGCAACCTTTTGATCGCATTACCAGAAACATCAAGAATGCAATGTTTACCCTAAAAAGTGAGAGAGAAGGGAAAATGATACTAAGCAGTTTATGTCACAGATATGCATAGTGTAATAATTAAGAAAACATGTCTCTACTGAAGCCAAAATAATTACAGCATTTGCATCAATATGATTTCACCACTTTGACACAAGGTCCCACAATGCTTCTCTGTTGAGATCATACATCATTTGAGATGTTCCTGACCATCCTTCCTTCCTTTCTCCACCAGAGGCTGGAGAATCAGCCCAATCAGCAATGCAGAATCATCTGGAGGAACAGCTGTATTTCAACCACACCAGCAAAATTATTTTTTTTAAGAATTTGAGGATTCTTTAGGGAGGTGGCCATGTCACAGATGCAGTTTAGAGAGAAGCCAGATGATTTAACTGGCATACCTAAATAGTAACCACCCCCGATGGCAGGGAAATATGCCATCATCAGAATGGTCAGATGGAACTGAATACAAGCACGCTTCTCCCCCCAGTACACACAGAACATTACCAGGTTTGACACGGTGAATGCAATTTATTTGGGCTGATTGTTTGTTCACCTTTTGAGAAACGTAAGTAACAATCATTTCTTGGGCAGCTGAAAGACAATGTGGCAGGGCTGCTCTTCTCTCCACTTCTATTCTCCCATATAAGCAGTTTTTCAGCTCTTTGGGATATCTAATCTCAAAGGCTCTTCCTTTTCCTCAGCTCCTCTCACATCTGATATACTGATTTCCACCTCATGCATTTTTATTTCTTTCCTTTATGAGTAGCATGAGTAATTTTGCATATTATCATTTTAGAAAGGGATGGGGGGAGAGGAATAGAAAACAACTGTCAATTGAATAAAGCAGCAAAGCTTTTTCTTTAGCAGGAGAACAATGAACGGCAGAATTCTGTGAGCCAGGAAAGAGACTCACAAGCACCATAAACCCAAAGGTTACTTATAGCATACAACAACTTCCTGAACTCCTGCGATCATTCCTGGAGAGCACATTGAAGAGCAAGGAAGTGACTAGTCTAAAATTACTGACATGTTTCTGCTTCCTGGCAGAAGACATCACTAGGATTATTTGCATTTGATCTCTTGCACAACAAAACCACAGAATTTTATTTCAGGAATTTTTAAAGAGGATAGAAGTGTTCTTTCCACATGAACAATAAATATCGCCTGTTTTCAACTGATGACAGCTGTTTCCCAGATCCAGTTCACTGATCTGGATGCTGACTGGTATCATTTAAGAAAGGTGTTTGCATGTTCTAGCAGAGTATTTTACTGCATGTGCTGGCCTGTCCACGTATTTCAAATGGTTTCTGTTTAAACATGGCACATGCTTTGGGAACTGAGAATTAAGAGCATTATCTGGTCCATTTTCCTTTCTGGAATAAGACAGTTAGTATTTGCTGTGTTTGGCCCAACAATTTATGTCAGGTGCCAAAGGATCTTGCGCAAAGGGTGTGAGCACAGTAGCTGTGCTGGAGCTTACAGAATATAACTGTGACGGTTTATTCCAAATCTATACTGAACATGAGCAATAACAGTGGCCTCAGACAGAGAGATCTGCAAGCTGCTAAGAATTCCAAAGAAGAGGATATGAAAATTCCATTTGTGTGGAGATTGGAAGACAAGGAAAAGACATGCAAGTACTTTGTGATACAATTATCTAGTTTTCAGCCAGGAAAGCTATTTTGCTCTTTGCACAGTATATTTAAACAATTTTTTAGATTTTTCTTTTTTTTTCAGTTCCTTACTTGCACTGCAGCTGATTTGAGAAACACAGCACAGTACTTCAGTGCTCTTTAAAATAACTGAACATCATCATCAAAAGGCATCCTTAGCTGTGTCCAGTATAGGTATGGAAATGAGAGAGAGTTATCACCTGGAAGCATGGGCAAATGAAAGCAATTTATAACTATTGCAAGAATACTACTTCTGGTACTTTTGGGGTAGTAGCAGTCACTTCTGTTGCGTCTTCCCTTAAATACATCATAGAAAACTTGGAAATAGCCCTTCGTATCCCAGTAGTAAGACACACTGAAGAGACTGATCTCTTAAGCGGGACAGAAAGGAATACACAGAGGGAGTAGCCCCAGATGGACCAGTTTGCAGCCCTGTCAAGATTTTTAAGTCAAGTTCTGCAGAATAGGCCATTGTTTCCCAGAAAAATAATGTTAGCTGGAACAGAGAAATTGCTGCATCTACCCAAAGTCCCATGGTGCCTGTGCAAGAGATTTAACAGCATGGAGACATCTGATAGCACTTGATTTTTCATGTTAGTTTATAAAAGATTCAAATCCATTTTGTACCTTTCTAATCCCGCTAGATGAGCAGAAGAACACAGTCAATTTCAGGTCTAGGATGGAACTGAAGGACTGTATTTATGCTACCAGGTGAAGCAACTGCTCACAAGTTTATAATGTTTAAGCTGTTCAATAAACAGTTTCATCATTTAACCCCATATGATAGTTTCACAACTTTGTTCAGCCTCCCATACAAAGTACTGTTCATTTACTTTAATAATTTTGTAATTAATTTTATTTACTTTTCTTGCTGTATATCATGGGGCCAGGTTCTATTCCATATAGTGAGAAAGACAGGAGAAGAAAACTTCATTACATGAAGCACGGAGTCTCACCATGTTTGCCCTGTTTTCGATTCCAGTAAATTAAACTGACAGAAATAACAATACTCAGAAATTTGGCCAGAATGGCCTACACTGTTTTCCAGAGGACTAAATACACTCCTGTTTCTCACAAGTTAACCACACTTACTCCCTGCATGTCCAGACTGAAAGCGCTCACACTTATGAGTTCCCACCTAGAAAATAGCTGTTTCTTCTCTCATACAGATCAGATAACACTGTCTACTGTAAATGCATCGTATCTGTAAGCAACTCATCAACCTAACATGGAACACTTGCAAAGAATTTTCACCAAAAAGCTTCCTTAAAACAGGCATCTTACTCAAAGAAATATGCTTCCCTCTTCCCACTTTTTTTCAGAGCACTCATGTAAACTTCTGTTTGAATTAAGAAATATTTAGATTTTGGAAGAAATAAGTAAAATCTGTTCAGGATAAAGACAATAAGCTCAGTTTCCATAATGTAGGGGTAGTTATGTAAAAAATGTTATTAAAATTGAGTTTATTATATTTACTCTTTTCCCTTTACCAGCTAAATCCATGAAGGGTACAAAGAATAGTATTGTTACAAGTTTTTTTCTGCACAGGTCTGCATCAAATGGATCATTGTATTAATTGACTCCAGCACCACTATTCTTAATTATTTAATGATCTATGTATGTGAGCTAGGCTAATTAGCCTGTAATTCAAATTATTTCTTCTCTATTCTCTTTTTATAAGAGGGCACAAACTATGTTTGCTCTTTCTCCATAATTTAATCATGATGCTTTCATTATTCCAAAGTTTCATTATTTCCCTAAATGCATCTGTGACAATGCGCTTTGTTTCTAGTTTTGTACAAATTCCTTTTAAAGTCAGGGTGTTCCTAATGACTTCTTGCCATTCTTCTCTTTTCCCCTGTGAGCACACTCAGATAACGATCTCTGTAAATGAAAGTAACTGGCACCGATTTACCTTTTCTGCTACTTCTCGCACTGACTGGACACTTGTTCCGTAAAGATGATTATTGTACTGGCCAGCTTCAATGAATTTGTGATCCTGAATATCCTTCTCCATTTGCTCTCGAGAAGTGACAAAATGGTAATCACGTCCATCCACCTCATAATCTCGTTTTGGTCTAGTAGTATCTTTAAATATAAACAAGTAATTTTAAAAGCAAACCAAAAAACAGTTACTTTTTTTTTTCCCCTACAATAAGCAAGAATAGTCTCCCATTTATACTGCAAAATTTTCACAAGTAAAGAGATGACTGACAATCACAATAGGTCTATGAAGTTTAGACAATACATTAACTTTTTTTTAAACTCAACATGCAGAGGATGTCTTGTAAGAAAATTAACAGAAAAAAAATCATTTAGAATTGCTTCAGTATTTGCTGAGACTTACGTGGAACACATGAACCAAATTTGTCTGGAAATTCTGAGATTAGATCATCATTTATTCTGTCTTTCATGGGTCCCAAAACAATCACAGGTCGCGTGTAACTGACTATTAAACATAAAGGAATAATGTTAGTTACATTTCAGTACGCTTGCTAACTTTTAGAGTTCAGAAAAATAAGCTTTATCACATATTAATGATTATAATACCTACAAGAATATGTACTCTTAAAGAAAGGAAAAACATGTTGAAGAATGTAAACCAACTAATACTGTAGTCACAGTACGATGTTACATCTTCACTCTCAAATAACTGTTCTGGGTGACTGAATCTTAAATTATGAGGTCTTGGTTTAGAAAAAAATATTTTAACAGATTTTTCACAAAGCAACATCCTTCACTCTGAAGAAAAAAGCAAAAGGGAGAAGTTCGAAAATCTTTTCACTTTAAAGAGGCACATAAGCAGTAGCAGAGTTTGTGAAATTCTAATTCTGTGTTGGGAGAAGCTTCTTTTCCTCCAAGACCACAATTATACGCTCATATATGAAAAGGCTCAACTATATATACCTTTTCTAACTATTAACATCACTATAAAGCGAAGCGTAGCTTAATTTTAAGTAGCTTAATTTTTTATAAAGTTATAAAGGGCTTTTGGAAATTAAGCTTAATCAGAAAACACCTAATTATACTGCAAGAACCATGAAGAAAATAATGCCTGAGTATCTTAGTATTAGCATATAATTACCACTTTATAAATTTTAATTTTTAGGTTCAATACATCTTTACTGCATAGATAAGTCCAAATTAAATAGTCTAATCTATAAAATATATTTTAACTCTGACAACTATTTCCTTTCCAGAGTATTAATATATTCATAAAAGGAATGTCCTGAATCCAGTAACTGTCAACCTATTCATTTAACAACAAAAATTTTTGCTTGAACACTAAGGGCAGCCCACCAGCATCTCAAGTCCAAGCACCTTTAAATCTATGTTGGTTATTACAGTTCTTTATTCCTTTGGGCTTCTTGGGGGAAAAAAAAAATTACTGTGCAAGTGAATTAGTAAACAAATGCAGATAATGCATGCAGGGTCTAAGCAAAGGAATGAGGTGCTAGTTCTTTTATGGCCTTCCCATACAATGTGTTACACTCAAAGGGAATTAAAGTCATATATGTAAATGCCAAAGCACTTCACTCTCTGAAACCTTTAGTTTTACAATATGATCGTTACTAAAGCATCAGCTTGTGCGAAGTCTTATTTACATCCTTTCTCTTCAACCTTAACATTAATTCACTTGATATTTCTATTGTTCTCACTAAATCATTAAGCTATCCAAATCTGGGAAGTTAATGCCAGCTAAAAAGATGTTTCTCATTTTGTGAGCCCTTCTGGCGTGTGCGCACAGACACAGACCCAGCAGCTTCTCATTTGGGGGTAACAAACCTCTGGTTCCCTAGCTTAGGTAGGTAGAGCTTACTTAGCACATCAAAGAGACGTGCTACCATTTCCCCATATCTATCACGGTCTTAATACATGCATTTCTCATCCATGATTTTATTTGGAGCCTATGATTATTACAAATTATATGATATAAATAATGTTGTTTGTGTTAGTCTCGTATAACAATTTTGCTGCTTTTAGAAGCTTACTGATGAAATGGAACCCATATGCCATAACTAACGAGTGGGAGCAGAAAGTCTATGCAGGCATGTATGTTCCATAATGTTATCAGAAGCAACTGAGCTGTGCCACTACCTGCACAAAACCAGAAATGAAATCTTGACACTCAAAAGTCACGTAAATACATTATGTATATTTAGTTTGACTGTCACCTTATTTGTTAGCTAATGGGTATCAAGTATTCCCAAAGCACATCCCTTTTACAGATTAATTTACAAATACATGAGCCATGTATCAGAGAATGTAAATCAACTGTTAGTACCTGTGGAGAAAGAGAACATTAAAAATTCTGTATCTATTATACACAGCGAAGCAAGACCAAGACCAAAGGAATGATAGCATCCCAGCGGAAATCACTGAAAAGCATTTTATTTTAAATGCAAGTGTGAGAAACAGAAGAAAACTATGATTTCTGTGGTTCACACTAATAGAATTGTTAAACGTACCGTATTTTCCTTGCAATGTAAACCATACATAAGTTATTTTAAGTAGCAGACCTGCATATTTTGTGCTAAACAATTTAGCAATTGCATCTAATAATTTATGCCTTTGTACTTCATCCATGTGAATAATGGTAACAAGTTCAAAACAATGAAATATGTCACAATGCTCACTACATAAGGGCACATGAAATGCTCTGATAATTCAGATGATATTTTATGATGAGTAAGATCTACAAACCTTCTTGTTGATTGACTGGTTCATATGACAACACATACTCTTCTTGGCCACCTAAAATGTAAATGCAAAGACATCTCTATTTTTTTTAAACCAACACATTTGAGTCATTCAATGAACTATAATGATACAGACATTCCTCAGTAATATGCATTACAATGATATCGATGAAGCACATTTTTCAAGAGCAATGATTTATAAAAATCACAAAGATAAGCCAAACAAAATTTTAAAGCATAAGACACATACAGTATAAATAATTGCCTGATTTCTGTTAGCATGGTGAACTGACATCAAGCACAAGAATTTTAAAGCATTATTGAAATGCTCGTATACACGTTCCCCTGAATGAAATGCATGCATGCTATCATTCACTGCTACAGGCAATGCCACGTTCACCATCAACATTCTCCACACTTTGAAACCAGCATTTAAAATAATATTTTTCTTGTATTTATACAGGGCTGATGACCATGTTCGTCACGGTGTACTTATCTTCCATTAATTTTCTCATGAAGTGGCATTGATATAAACGTCCTCAACCACTCTAATTCTACCAAAAAAATTATGATTGTATATACTATTATTTTACTAATGAAGTTTTAAAGACAAAGTTGAAAACAAACAATGCTTTGTGTTGTTCTCAGCTCCAGAAAGCACATCAGCAGTGAATGAAACTAAAGTAACTGAATTTTGAACTTCCTGCAGGCTTTTAAAATGTTAGTGAAAGCATCTGAAATATACCTCAGTTTCCATCTCTCTAAAAGATTATTTGTAGTCTAATAAGGTATCTCTGAGTAAGATTTCATGCAGTGGAATGACTAAAACTCTATGACAGCAGAGAATTTATATTTCTGAAGATAGAAGCTCAAATTACATGACATTACTATGAACTTTGATTAAAATACAGTCCTTTGATGACTCACTTGTGTAATTTTGGAACATTTTTTGGAGTTTATAAGCCATTCTCATAACAGGCCAAGGTACATAACAATGCTAAAACACAGTTGTATAGAAACAGATGGCAGATGAAGGTTTTTATAAATTCATATATTGCTTCTATATATCTAGTCTTTATTTCATAGCAAGTACCACTGATCTTTTAAAAATTACCATTTCATTAAGAGAAATATTTCTCTTATTTGCAATAAATTTACATTCAAACTGTACTACAGCAATATATGAACATTTTAATTTTTTTAACTATTGCAAGTGAGGAATACCTTAAGACAGACACAAAACCATGCAACCTGTATATTTTAGTATCTCAAAAAGTAACTCATGCAAATGGATTTTAGGACAGTATATACTTTCAGAACCCCTTTTAGGCTAGGGAGAGAAACAGGGAATCACCAACTATCAAGTCAACTATGAAAGATCCAGCTCACACATAATTAGATATTTCTTTGGATAAGTGACATTGCTATACGGTTGAAAATTAGTTAGGCAAACTAGTAAAGAGAACAAGTAAAAAGCATCCCTTGATTAAGGGCAAAAAGTATATATTGTCACTGCTTTTTAATACTTTGGAAAAAATGAATATTAATAGAATGAACCTTTTGAACAACCGTACTCATCTGTAATCAAGATAACTTTCATATTAGACAGCAGTAAGAAGAAATTAAAAAAATTATTTCAATGAAAAGTGCTTGGAATTACACACACAGATAAGCAAATCCATGACATTCATAATAAAACCAGGGCTTCTCAAGTAAGAATGGAGTGAAAATCTAACTAGTAGTATCAACCATGAGCTTTAAACAAAAAAAAAGCAACCTCTGAGAAAAAGAAGGGAAGAGAGGAAAGCAGCAAAATTAGGAAGAAAGAGTCATGATTAGATAGTTTTAATGGCGTGTCATTAAAAAAGGTTAAAATGTGTAAGTTTAGCAAAGGCAACTTCCATACATGTTCAATTTTGTGTTAGTCTCAGGGAACACAAATGCCTCCCCCAAATGGCTTCTTTTTGATTAAAGTCTACAGCACTGTTAGCATTTTATATACATATATTAATTCTTCCCTTGAGTGTCATCATCTGGAAGAAAAAACGTGGATCATCACCTCTAAGAAGATCTACAGCTTCCGAACAAATATATCTGTTAATGAATGACCTTCCTTATCACCCCAATATAAATCATATGCTTCTGAAGGGCCCATCGTGCAGTTATAAAAGGCAACCAGGAGCTGCTCAGTGAGCCACTCAGTGTTGCACCGCAAGGCTTCTATTGTTCCTTTTTAACATATACCTCTTCAAATCCTCAACTTTTTCATCTTCCTGCTCTGCTCTATCCTGGGTTTCAGGTATGGACAGTGCACCTTACTAAGGAGATGTTCTATGGAAACAATCAGTGGGATTGAAGTTCTGGCTCTGGTTTAAGACATTCATTGTAGAGCAGCACCATGCTGCATCATTACCAACTGTTAACACGTAGTACTGCTGTAGCTTGGGCTAATAAAAAAGCTAATTCAGTCTAGTATTTAAAATATATGATGTCTTGAGAAAGAGAATGTGCATGTATGCCTAGCATGCTAATTTATCATAACTGACTCCAGCACTGAATGTGTATCGTATGCTTTGAAGACAGTTCATATTAAGCACCCACACTTGACAAAACAGTTAAGTGAAAGCTGAAAGCAAGGGTAAATACATGTTTGCTTATCTTTACTTTCATTAGAAGTATAAACATATTAGATCTGAGTATCAGTTGTGAAAAAGTCTAGTTATTGCTCTATTTAACATATTACATTTTAGTTACACTTCCAGTATTAACCTCAACTACATATGTTTGTTAGCATTAAATTTACATTTAGGTTTTAATAGGTCTAGATAGCTTGCACAATTTATAAAAAAAAAAAAACAGCAACAGATTCAAATTAAGCTGAATTAAGGAAATCACAGATCACAATAAAACTACCCATAGAGGAGGTTTGCAATGATGCTCTCTAGACAGTTTTTTAAAAGCAAAGACACAGCAGAATTTGCAGTTCCCCACCAAATGCATGAATATGGATTTCACCTGAAGGTGACTTGGAAGTTCTATATAACATGTAAATACCCAGAAAAGACAAACAAACAAAACCAAAGAAAGAAGTACTAAACAAAGGTTCTAAATAAAAAACTTAAAAACACTTACGGTAACTACTTTCACTATCGCTGGCATTAGAGGTTACATGCTCTGAAATTGCAACACAATGGAAAAAAAAATAAGGAACATACACTAATGGCATGGGTCCAAAAGAAAGCAAATTGACACAAAATAATCCAGATGAAAGACAATACTAATAGAAAAATGCTGAAATCAATACATACTGCATATAAAAGTTTTAAGGTACTTCTCATAGCTCTCAGGATCAAGCTTAATATCATATGAAAGGAACTGATGTTAATATAAAGAGAAACATTCAATAGCACATCAAAATAAGATTACAAAAAGTACACTAATGCATAGTTCCCATCTAAGCCTGCCATTTTTAGGTTTTCACTTAAAGATGAATTCTGTTGTGCAAAAATCATGGGGTTATGCATTTCAACTTTATGCAGGCAATTTATTGATTACATTTCTTGTAGCAGAAAATACTGGACTATATTGCAGGAAATATAATGTAGTGTCTTCAGTAATAGACACCTTCCTATGCTATATTAAATATCTTACTTGAAGTGCAATGCAAAATTAAGTTTTTTGGTTTGGGTTTTTTTTTTTTTCCTCCAGCAGTGCTGTAGTTTTCAAAAGCTCCCAACTTTTATTCTGGACTCTCTGTATTAATTTCATGCCTTCTGCATAACAAAAACACTTCAGTAGCTACAAGGTGTTTAGATTTACTTTTTTAAGGTATGTAACTGTGTTAAATACGTTCATGATAAAAATAAATGCAATTGAAGAATTTCAGGTATCAGTCTATTCTTTTACTTGAAAATTCTATAAATCGGGTGAACCAATATGAACTTTGATACTGCTGAACTTTATTGTAAAGAGTCCTTTTCAATGCCAGCCAATGAGTGTATCTATTTGTAGAGAAAACAAGTAACATTCACAGGTTAAGACTGCATAAAGAAGCTTGTGTTTGACCTATACAAATGAAATACAATTAATCTGAAATTATGTACCGGTGTGCATGTGATAATACACACTGTTGTCATGAGCAGCCTTTATAATACATTAAATTCAGCATGGTTCCTCCCCTACAAGACTAAAGAGAAGGAAGCAAGAGGACTCTGGCGGTAGGAATACAGTTAATGAAGCAAGTATGCTTCTAGTGATTCATAAACATTTTTAAAAGTTAGTCATCATATGTAAATTAATTAACCTTCTAAAATGTTTCTGGATCAAGTGAACTGATATCTTTAAACCACAAATCTCTGGCTAGACTGAACTCCCTCATTTCATTTCTGTGCAGAAAAACCAGTTTTCTGACTGGTTAACCAGTTGAGCTGTTTTTGAGTACTAGCAATTTGGATCTACTTCCATTCCATTTTCTTGTCTTGGAAAAAGAATATCCACACTGGCACGGAAGAGAGAAATAGTGATGTTTAAAAGCCTCTTGACTGAACATAAAAGGCAGACACTGTCAATTGAGAATACAAGTGTTCTGATAGTCTGATAATGGGCACAACTGGTAAAAACATAAAGCCTAAAATGCCTGCAAGAACAGCAGTCTTGCAAAGCCCATGTAACACAGCCCGCATTAAGTGTGGTAAGGCAGTTTCAAAAAGTCTGATGAAGACCAGGCTAGAAGCCATTTGTTTTTATAACAAAGTCACCTGCTGACGTTTCTTGAGCATATTACATAGTTTAAACTAGGCATTAAAAGGCCATAAAAGCTGTTTATGATCTGCTGTAAACAATAAGGCCATAAAGGTTGCTAAGGTCTTCCACTCTAGACTGAGAATTTCCTTGAAAGTAGCCATTTCAGAAATGGAAAATTAATATTATAGCTACTAGAATTTTTTTTTAATGGTTAAGACAAAGTATAGAAGTATACTGCTTCTCGCATGTGATGTCAGGAGCACTATGTGTAACAGTTATGCCCTGGGAAGAAGTGTTCTTTTTAATGACCTTTAGTCACATACCTTTAGTGACTGATTTTGCTATTCCATAAACGTACAACAACGTATGTGTTGAAAGCAAGTTTTTGACTTTTTTTGTCATTTTATTTGTCATTATTTGTCACATACAGTGGTGGCATCTGTGTACACCAACAGATGTTAGGAGTACTCATAAAGCTTTGAATCTTACTGTTCAAGCAGTTAACACTTCTGCAAGAAATGCAACAAATACTTATGCATCTCCTCTATCAGCTAACCCTATACCTGGTCCAAAAGCATCATAAGAAGTCAAACAGGACAGAAAAACTCTCATGGCATTTGTTAAGCAAAGATTTTTGTTTGTTTTAAGCAGCTGTAGACATCAGCCACCTAGAGAGAAGACTGAAAACCCTAAGTAGTTGAAGTATTACAGTAACCATTGTACTACTACTGTAAAAAGCCATGTTATTTTTAAATAAACACAAAGACAAGATACATGTGAAAAGAAAATAATCATCATGTTTAAAAACACAGTACTATTAAGACAAACAAGTGTGTGCCGGTAAGCTTCTGAACAACAACAACAAAAATATAATGTGACAGTCACATGAACTTAAAGTAATATGGTCCTGAACACAAAAACCCCCAGAACATTACAAATTAGAAAAAGTTTATGCAACATTTTTAGAGTCAACCTCCTTGTGCCAGTAGAGCACCAGTCTCAGAGAGATCTGCTAAAAAAAAAAAAAAAAAAAGTAATTTTTCAGATGGAGGTTAAAATAACTTGGGAGTATTTTGATCACTTACTCAGGCCTTTTGATCCCATGTCGTCAGGGACCTCCTGCAGAGTAGTCCCCAGAGGGCAAGCAATAAAAAGACAATCACAAAGAAAATAATTGTCAGTAATATATAAAATTGGCGCTACGACAGGAGACAGTTCCCAGAACATCACAGGGGAAGATAAGTCTTTAGGATTTGACCTGACTGGCACATAAAGCGTAATCAGTGATGCAAATGGCACAGAAACACAGTTTCCAGCAGTCCTGGTCTGCATTAGCAAACTTATGCAACTGCTTTTGGAGAAGACGCTTTTTTAGTGCTGGCAACAGTGATGAAAATCAAAGTAAACTCTCTTCATTAGGAAAACCAAATTAGAATTAATGACTTCGAAGAAATCAGTCGGAAGGGACTGATTATTCAAGAAGCTGGTAAGCTCCGTTATACTTTGATCACTGCTGTGCCTTCTCCTCCAAGTCAGAATGAGGAACCATCACTGACAGCACTAGAAGGCTGCTATCTCCTCCAGTTACGTACATACTGTCACTCCACAGTACTACCCAGTCTATTCCAGACTGGAATGCTCCTGGGTTAAATTTTACTTTAACAGCAAACAAGCAGTTGTATTGATTTTATAGATTGGTTTGTCATTGGCATCTCAAGCTCTGTTAGCCTGTTGCAGCTCATGAAACTGTCTCCATGGTAACACCCTACTGCAAGCTAGCAGGCCCTTCTACGTGTGCTTCTCTCCATTGGATGCCACATACTTACGGTCAATATCACTGGTTTCCTGCTCACTCTGGTCCTTGTTCTTGTAGAAGGGAAATTTTCGGGAAAAGAGGTTCTTTTTACGCTTGTCATTGAATGACTGCTGAAGAAGAGAAGGAGGGGCAAAACAAAGGATGTCTAATGTCTGTGTGAACAAAGGCCCAGACCAGCAGCTTTGTGGAAGCTGACTCCTATAACCACGTTATGCAGTGCATATTTAGTTTAACACTATCCTCTCAGCTCGTTAAAAATAGAGATTGGGATCATGGCTTTGCTCACATCCTCCCTATTTAACACGCTTCACATGTATTGAGAGAACTGGCAGGCTGGTTCATCCTATATGGCCTGACCTGTATGTCACAAATTTAGGCTTCTTGGGAATGTAAAAATATGGGAAAAAAATAGACTGCTAGAAGATGGCCAACCCATAATGAATTTAAAGTCAATAAAATCACTGATATTATCTAATATAGAGATTACAGTATTTAAAAAGAAAAAAAAAAATGCTGAGGCTTTAAACAAGCTTTTGCGAACAATTGACATCGTAACAGCACACCAGAAGCATCTGCCAGTGTTACCCATTTGCAAAAGCAAAACTGTAAATACTCTGGTGACAACTGCTAAATAACAAAGGAAAATAGAAGCTAAAAGCTGGCATGGTACTGAATGTTCTTATGATAAAACTAAATAACAGTAAAATAGGAAAATAGGAAAAATAGGAATGTGTCTAGCTAAAATATCCAAACAATAAGAAAACCAATCAAAACAACCAAAATCCCTATTTTTTCAGTCTTTCACAATTGCAATTCATTGCAAGTTCAATGAAATAAATTATTTTGCTCTACATAAGTCTTCATCCCAATACCAAGATTAACTTCCAAAAGATATAAACTAATTTCCTTCCCCCCCCCATGGCAATTATAGTATTTATAGAGAACTACCACATGAAAAACTATGTTCAAAAACTGTATGTTCAGCAACTTTTGACATTAGCTGCTTGCATTGCTGAAGAATTTCTGTATCTCAGTTGCTACAACAATTTCTAGAGTTACCTATGTACACACATACATACCCACCCATCTGAATATAAATTATTACTATGCTCCTTGTCTAAGTGATGGAGAGCATCAGTGTATTTTCATTCACGTACGTCTACAAGTATAATTAGCACAGAATTTAGTAACATCTGCCATAGCTTCTGCTCAAGACATTATGTGACCTCAGCACCTTTAATTTACTGTTCTATGACAATGAAGAAACTCCATGTACAAATAGATCAGTAAAATTTTTATTGCAGTTATGCCCTGCACTAGAACTAATACAGCTAACTTGAAGCCAGCTGAAACTTCTTTTCATCTTTAGGCACGAATCATCTGACTGGTTTTGCCACGACATGAAAAAAACAAGAAAACGCACAACTTGGTGTTGAGACCCTGTGCTGCAGGAGGACTGCTGATTTTTAAGCCAAGCAAAGCCCATGTGTAGCAGGAAGTAATAAAAATTCCACAGAACCATTTTTTAAAAAGTTACTTTAAAAAAATGTGTACTTTTAATTCATACATTCAAGACTATTCACAGCTATTTCTAAAATTTGGAGCACGTCAACTTTCAAGTAATTGTCTGCCTTCAGCCAGAGAGAGCTCAACTTCCTCTATTATATGAAATACAATTGCAAAAGATACATTATCTTTTCTACCACCACTAAATATGGAATGAAATGCAGTAACAACTAGGGGTCAAATAGGAAAAACAGTTGGCCACCTTCTTTAGTGCAGTTATAAAACTAGCATTTGGACTTCCTAAAGAGAAGGCCTATAGCACAACAAAAAAGCTGCATCCTGCTACAGTATTGACAATCCTTCTTGACATCTGTTTTAATACAGACTTGCTTGGCAGTACCAGATACTGAAACATTCAAGGATATCTTCATTACCACTGTGGGGTTCTTTTTGGGTTTTTTTTGGTGTTTTTTGTTGTTTTTTTTTTTAAATTACTTAAGATTACCAGGTGTTAAAGAGGGACATGGTACCATGGGAGCACAGTGACACTGAGCTCTATAAACAGCAATACCGTGTTAAGTAGCAAATCCTTAAAACCTTTAATTGGCTGGCATCTGTGTTCACTAGAACTGTCATTCCACTGTAAGAATTGGTAAATTATCAACCTGACATATGGACAAAAGAACTGGATTCGAGCCAATCATATGCTTGCAGGAACCATCATTGACATGGGTAAGGCTTTAGGTTATAGTCCTCCTGACCTTCTTTATCTGAAGTCAGCAAGTCATTGCAATTGACTTCTGACAACAAGAAAAGTTAATATAATCTATGGAACAAGGGCAACAAAGAAATATGCACCCAGAGGAGATCTTTGCTGAGTATACTGCAAAATACTGTAACATGAATTTAAGAAAGTGGAAGTCCCACAGCTATGTAATTGTTCCATTTGGAGAAGCCCCTCAGTTTGAGCAAAAGAACAGGAGAAATAAATGTAACAAAGCTAAAATGGTGCAATTTAACTGAGGTGGTGAGACTCTGCAATTTGCATAGTTAAAATAAAAGGAGTGGCTGATTCATTATACTTCATAAAACATAATTGTGCTCTTCATTTTAGTTTTGAAAATATTTCATAACCATAATTATTTTAATTTTGTTCAGTATTCAGTAAATCTTACTGAACTAATACTATATTTTATATACTGCATGTATAATGGTCAGAGTCAGTTCCATTGCCAAAAAAAAAAAAAAAAAGGAGAAAATAAAACTAATATTATACTGATTTTGCATAAAAGATTAGCCAAAAGATTATTCTTAAAAGATACCACGATTATAAAAAGCTAGAGAGTATTGCTTATTAGTTGAAAATGCATAGTAATTGTATTAAATTTTTCATAAGCCCACTGCAAATCATAAACAGGCATCGTAAGCAAGAATATATTAAAACAGAAGCAGCACAGAAAGTGAGATAAATGTGTCTATATAAGAAACAAACATGAAAAATTTAACCATTTCTGCTCCAGATTCTTTAGCTTTCCTTAGAATGAAAGGAAAATGGATTTTAATGTTTGCCATCGCTAGGGTTATTCTTTAAGGTTTTAATGTAGAAATTTTGAGTAATTGTACAAAGTTGGTATTTCATCCTGTCCATGAAGTATTATAATATACAGACACAGGAAGGGACACAGTCCATAAGGGCATGTATGGTGCAGACAACTTACTGGAAAAAATATAATCATGACAAATACAGGAAGAATATCATAAGGAGAAACCATGATGTTAAAACATTTACAGCCAAAGCAAAAGATTTGTGAACAGTGTAAGCGTGTTTGCAAAATGAAATGTTACTAAAGAAAAGGAACTGCAGTTCTCTATCAATGGCAAGCGTAGTTGCTTTTCCACTCAGTATTCCATGCATATCTTTGGTGCTATGCTAGTACACAGCAACTGTGCACTAACTCTGCTATTGTCAAAATGGTGCTTCAAGTGTATCGTTAATTAATTGTTTCTGGTTTATTTGTACACACCACAAACCCATGCAATCATCTTTCAAAGAACATGGTAACATTAGAAAAATTACTTCATGTAATTAAAATAATCACAAGTATTTAAGCCATTTTTTTTGTGACCTCTAAAAAGTGAACTCAAATTATAAAAATGATCAGGTTAAAAATTACAAGGTGATAACGCTATCCCAATACCAAAATATAAGTGCACCAAAACAGGAAAAAAATGCAAAAAATCCACTGAACCCTCAAAGCAGTACTGTAATTGTTCATCAGAAAATAACTAAATATTGATTTCCTTTTAAACAAATACTTCCACAAAACAGTATGACATTTTCTTCATTAATAAACTAAACTGAAACCTTTGCCATTTAGCAGAGAGATGTACATGTGGATTCGACAGTCTTTAAAGTCCTACACTATCAGGATGAAGTACTGAGGCTTTAGTATTTTACATATGTGATTTCTGAAGTAATGAAAATGTTGAAATAAATGACTAACAGGAATCTTCGGGATTTACAATAATGACTGACATGTTACAGCATTAGTGCTATTAAAACAATAATCACTATTTAAGAAATAGCTTCCTCAGAAGCTTAGAGCATGTTTCAGATTTTTTAAAATGACAGTATATTATTACTTTAGAAAGCTCTTACATCTAAAATGCATATACGTAAGTCTTGAAATTACTAGTTATACACTATTGGTAGAAACGGTGAGGTTGTGAAATTGCTTCTCATATGTCAAAACGACCAAAACATTGCCACATCCTCAAAATAGTAAAAAAAAAAAAAAAAAAAAAAAAAAAAAATTGGGGTTGGCTGCTGTACCATGATGAAATTGCTGTAATTTCAGCTACAAACATTCCTATTAGTACTTAAGTAGCTACTCTGCTTTCTCACCACTCATTCCCATCATGTGTACTGGGACAGGGACTGCGTATCGTGCACCAAGGGACTGACTAAACTGAAAAACAGGATTTCTTTTGGATTGGGTTATTTTTCATCTACATTGGCTACTTTATATGATTCGAGCCCAGTCACATTGGTATTCGCTTCAAGAGACAGCAGCAGTGAGAAAAAAACAGCTGTGAGACAGAGACTGATTCTAGGCAGCAGTGGCGCTAGTCTTGAGTTTTTGCTGGCCTATGTCCTTGGATGAAATTCTTTAAAGCTTCTACATCCATGACTGTAAAAAAAGAAGCTAATCTATTCTGTCTCCTTACTATGCACATTGTAAAACCTCATTTTGTCATAGGAACCCTGCTGAGCTTTACTTCCTTATCTTCTAGATACATTAAGAATAAATACCTTAATGAAAAAAACAGTTTACTTTTCCTGAAAATTGTAGTAAACCCATTCCCCCAAAAAAGGAGTCCCGGAATACAACCTGTATTATCATACTAAAGGACTAAACTGCTTTATAAAGAGCACTTGCAGACCAGTTAGGGATTGCACTATTCAATATATGATTAGTATCTACAAATCCTATTACTTTACAGTATTAATGAGAATATATCTTTATAAGCTAATATTTGCACTATTTTGGCAATTAAAGTTTGCTGTGGTGCTGAGAATTGTTTTATTTTTCTACTTAACAGAATGTTATCTTTTCACTAAAATCTGAAACTGAGTCTGCATAGATAAACCACTGAAAAAGGTTACCATTCACAATGCCAGGTGTAATTAGCACATCATTAACTCACCCCTTTATCTCCTCTTGTTTTGGAATTGAATTTCACAGTCTTTAAACGGGCTCGTTCTTTTTTCTCAACTCTACCACAGAAACATAGACAAAAATGGTAAATCAGAAATGTTCCAAAACTTCAAGTTACTACTTGTTACAATGTAAGCATATAGGTGTAACTTTGTAGGATAGATTTTTATTGCTGATGACAGCAGAAAACAGAAGTATGCTAATGGCAAACTGTATTGGAAAAGTAAGGTATTATTTCTCAAGTAATGAGCTGTGAGAGTACTGGAGTATTTTGTGATTATATAGATTCAATAAACCCAGAGGGTGCAAAGAGAAAACATGACATAATAAACAAACAGCCTCAATTATAAGTCAACAGCAGATATTAAGATCCAGAGCACCTAATCTTTTATTTGGGTTTCTAGTATGCCAACAAACACCTCATCACATTTACTCTGGCCACCAAAGAAAGATTTAACAGTTTCCTGGGTTCTGTGTAGAAAGAATTCATGATAGTATCGTGATTTGAATAAAATTAACTTTGCACCTTTTCATACATTAAATTGTGTAATGTTATTAAACCCATATGTAACGTCATTAAGCCCAGACCTTGCTTACAGTGAGAACAGAAAAATGGATTTGGACCACCTTTATCAACTTCAGAATGCAGCTCCTAAGGCTAAATAGGATTTTAGCTAACTTCTCGTTAAATTAGTCAGAATCCCACTACACATTATTTAAAACCAAATAAACCCAACAAACTAGTGGCTTATGTGGTACAGAATTAACGACAAAGAGCAAAGCATATGCAATATATGCATTAATCATATCGGATGTTTAATAGTAGACAACTCAAAGTAACAAAATATGACATACCTGCGTTTGCTAGGGATAACTCCAATTTCATCACTTTCTCCATCTGGAGTTACCTGCCGTGCTTGCCACCATTCATCATCAGAAGCATTAATGACATGGAGAATATCACCAAATTTGAAATTCAACCCTTGACTGGGAAGGCCGCTATCTTTAGTCTTGTCATAATCAAAAAGAGCTCTACAATGAGAATAAAAATAAGACATTGAAAAAGCAAGGAAAAAAACAGGGGAGTATGAATAGCACAAAATACGAAGCAAGCTGCTTGTGTTCATAAATGATTGCCTCATTCTGACAGCTGCTTAAAACAAGAAGGCTGAATGCACTCTCTCATATACACACACAGAGACAATATGTAGTACAGTATTCTTACACATTTCTAGGTTTTAAGAATTGAGAACAAACTTAATCCAGAGCAAAACTAGTTCTTTACAACAGGTCTACAGCAGATGCCTCCTGCACTTCAATTATGTACTTAGCACAGAAAAAGTTACATGTCAGCCTAGGATAAAAAAGGCAAGCAAGTATTTGAAGCATACAGCATTGTTTAAAGTTCTGTAATGTACCTTGGTTTGTATAAAATTAGAAATTGGAATTATTTTAGTAAATAAAAATTTCTTTAAATTGAAATTTAATTTCTTTAAAATGAAAGTCAGTACCCTGCTCACAGAGAAAAAAAAAAACCCACAAACAAATGAAAAATCAAAAAACAAACCCCAACAACTTCATTATTGTGCCTGAAGTGCATTCTTCTCGAAAATTCCCAACCATTCGAAGATAATCTCATCCTTTCTTCTAAGGATTTTCTAAGTGCCTATTTTCAAATAATAGGCACCAGCAATACTTGAACACCAGCTGCGTGACTACAGTTTTATTAATATTCCCTTTGCCAGCAAGGTTGGTTTATGCAAGTCTGCTATTACCCAGACTCTGCTTTGCATGGACTCCTTTCCCCCTACCTCCCATTCCCAGTTTTGCTTATGAAAGCACACTTGTCCAGAAATGCACATGGTCCACCATACCATGGAAATGATCTAGATTAAAACCAATTTATTTTCTCCTTGCTGGTTCATTTTATGATTGGATCAGTTTCCTGAGGAACTGAAGAGACCCACAGTATTTTTCTTGCAGCACAATTGAGCATTTCATAGGATGTGAAAATGAATGCTGATAGGAGCCTCTTACCAAACTGTAAGAGATACTCCTAAGGTTATATCTTAGAAAGGACTCCTATTTTACATTTGAAGTCAGTGTATGAACCTCAACCATGTAAAGGAAGAAGTGCCTGTATGACCCGGGCCAAAAAAACCTCAACTTGATTTCATCTGTAAGGCCATATGTTTGTCAGTGATGAACTTTCTAAACGGTACCCTACCTTGATTTAGACACTTGATACCAAGTCCATCACAAAGTAGCATCAATAGATTACAATGTAATGATTTTAAAATGATGTCCTTTTCCTTGTCCAAATTCAGTTTGTTTCTTCATGCTGAAGACTCATCTTATGTACCTTTTTCTGCTAGATTTTTAATGTCTCTCTCTTTTTTTTTTTTTTTTTTAATAACCCATGTAAGTACCTGTTTGGAACTGTTTGCTTCAAAACTTATTTTAGCTTTGTGAATTTTGCCTTTCTAAAGAACTGAGTGCATATCTTTGGGTTTGAATTGTATTTGTTCATGACAAATGAACAGAGAAAAAGTTCAAACATTTTCTGTCAGATAAATTTATCATTACCATAAGGTCTACTGCAAAATCAGAGTTGTCTGAGATCCCATGCCTTTCTAGGGCCATAAAAAGTATTACAAACTTTCCAGAAAGGGTGGAAAGTTTTAACAAATACTTTCTAAAATGTCTAGAACAAGACAGAAATTTTAAAACAGCTTAGAAATATTTGCTCTCATGATGCACAATGCCCTATATTTAAATATACAATACTTCTAATTTGTTAAATTTATAATAAAATCTAGGCTTTCAATTTTGAAATAGCTTGGAGGTTGAAATATAACCTTCCTTCAGTAATGCAACTTCCACTATAAGACGTTTCAGTTTAATTCCATAACATACTTGAATCATCCCAATTCTTTTTTAAAAAATAGAACCCTTGTCTTCTTTGAAAGAGCCTGAATACTGCAGGTAAGAAAATTATACAACTACTAATTATTCCTCCAGATTCCTTTTGCACATATTTGTTCAGGAAGGAATTTGGACAAGCATCATTCTGCATCTCAAAATAAATTGCACATACTCCATGCTTTTAATGCAGATTCAAGTTATATACATTTTCACTGACTTAACTAAATGCATCATGAAATTTATTTCCTGAGAATTCTTGTTAGCATTCAAGCAATGATCTCTACCAGCACTATTTCTAACTTCTAGTTTGAATATAAAATACGAGCAGTTAACTGGGCCTAACAGCATTAACAGTTTTGTTGACTGCATTAGAAAAAAAATTTTTAAAGAGTGAAATGGAAGCACAAATGTATAAAGCCGTACTATCAATATGTGCTCTTCAAAGTAGATAAATGGTTACACAGAATAGTTCTTGCACAATGAAAGGCTGTTTCATCAAATACTTCTCCTCTGGTGAGGGCAATTCAAGAAAAACAGTTTTATTGGAGAACCAAGTCAAAGGTGATAAAGATAGTTATATAACAAGATGAATGAGAGTACCACACAGTAGTGACAACTTCCGTACTAAAATTTAGAGGAACACCAGGAACTGGTAATGATAAAATAAATGAGCCAAAAAGCAAAGAGAAGTAACAAAAATCTCTTTGGATTACAACTGTTTAACATGGCTTTTCCTGTATGCCTGGCAAGACACCAAATGAGAACTCATTTCACAGCCAAGATGACAGATTTTTCTACAGACTAGTATATATAAAAAAGTTTCCTTTATTAACTCCCTGTATGGAGACCTTTATTACATGTTAATACATGGTATTAACAATACCATACACAAGTATTTACATAATAGTAACAATATGTTGTAACAACACAATATATATTTATTTAGTGTAAGTTATAAACACAAAGTTACTTAAAAATAAATTTGGTATTTCTGAACAACTACTCCTAAATATTACTTTACAGAGAAAGCACAGCATTCTCCCTTTTATTTTACCTTTTATTACTCAGCCACTACTCAGCACTTAAAAAGTTAACCTGGTTCCTCCATTTACAAGTCTACAAAAACCGAAGTTGTTGCGTGCTTCATGAGTGCTTACGTTTCAAAGCCAAAAATTTAATGGCTGTGTTAACAGTGCCAAATTTTCCAGAATATCTTTTTACCTGGCTACACTCACTACTTTCAGCATCACAGGCTGCTGATCAAGTTTTTTCTGATGCATTTCTTCTTTTAGGGTATTCTTGCTGAGCAAAAGCAATTCCTGCAGCAAAAGCATCTCCCCGTATTATTTCATGAAACATGAATTAACCTTACCCCTTCAGAATGAATGAAGTTCAGGTTATAAAGGAGGTTCTCTTTTTCCCCTCTGAGTTTTTACAAAAGCTGTTTGAAACTAATGTTTGAACTACCAGAATAACACAGGA